CAATTGCAAGAAGTTCGGGCAGATCCTTTCACAGTGCCAGTTTTTTAATGAATCGCACCACCCACCTGAAACGCCCGTGACTCACCCGCCATGACTGACCTGCCACTCAGGAGCTCTTGGTGAAGAGCCACACCGCGGCAGGTCCGGCATCTGCGGACCCGGCCCCCGTGGACACGGCCCCAGTGCCCCCGGTGGCCGTGGCAACCGAGCCGGAGAAGGTAGAGCCCGAGGCTGAGGTCGAGGCAGAGACCAAGGCCGGGCCGCCTTGCGACACGCGACCCGACTCTTCGACTCTTCGACTCTTCGACTCTTCGACTCATTGCACAGGCCAAGCCCAGTGGATCCAAGGATGTCTGGCACTCAACCTTATTGGCCTTTTCGTAGGCTTTGTTGGCAGCACCCGGTTTGGAAGGTCATTTGTGCGATGGCGCTCTCCTTGACCCTGGCAGCGGCCCTGGTCTGGGACTACTGGCGTGCTTCAGCCAGAGACCTAGACACGACGAGCACACAGCCGGTCCTGATCTCTAGTTTATGAACTGGCACCGTGACAATCGAGGTCAGCAGCCGCAATAGCAAGGGAGAGGCCCATCGATCGGTGCGTGAGGAAGCTTGTTGGAACCTTCAGCGTAGGTGCTGTACATCAACCAGATCTCCAATCGTGACCTTGCCTCCAAGTTTGCCGCATGCCTGAAGGCTGGTCGAAAAGCGTTTTGAGCCATGCCTGAAGGGTAATGATAACAATCTTTATCATTGTTTTCTTCGGTGTGATCATTTTTCGCTTCTCGCAGGCCATGGTTGTGTGGGCCCTCGCCTCCTTGGCCTGGGTGGAGCCCTCGAGTCTACGTGCCAAGTTGCCAAGCCCAGCCAACGCCTTGCGAGGCGATGGACCTTTTGGATACGACCATCTTCAGTTGCTCAATGTGCTGCGGCATTTTCCTCCTGCTTCTTCGTAACATGGGCCTTGATTTGAGTGCAGCACTGAGAATTGCTGCGCAACTGCAAGCTACCGATTGCGCTCAGCTTGCTTTCTGCCACTCAGGAAGCAAGCGGGAGCTGCACAAACTCTGAGTGCAGTATGCTCTGATCGCCCTGTTTTTGTGCCCTGCGCACTGAAACTCCTTCGGCCGGTTTTGTTTGGCGCCGGGAGCTGCAGTTCTCGCTTGAAGGAAGTGTGCGATCCCAGGGCTTGGACTGGAGGCAAGCAAAAGCCTGCGCGGAGATTCCACAAGAGTTGCATTTGCGCACTGGTGCCGCAATGGAGTGGTGTTTGGTGCCAGACTATTTCGGAGTTGTTGGGACGTGGGCGCTGGACCCTTCGCTCGGGCTGCATTTGGCCAGGCAGCTCTTTGCCTGGTGGCAGGGCAAGTCTTCGTGCGCCAGGCTCAAGGGCTGAATACCACCGACAAGGCCTGAGCGACTGCATGCGACTGCATGCGACTGCATGCGACTGCATGCGACTGCATGCGACTGCATGCGACTGCATGCGACTGCATGTGACTGCATGATGACATGTTAAATTCAGGATTAGCATTTGGCAAATCGGCAGGTGCTCTTCTTGTGGGCTTTGGCGAAGTGCAAGGCCAGATGAGACACGTTCTTGCGACTGGTGAGCTCTGGCTTGACGAACATAGGGGAAGGGGTACTGGATTCTTGAGCAAGGTCATGTGCTTCTAGTACTGCAGAGTGCTTCGAAGCCTTTGTTTGACGGGAGCCTTTGAAGTTTTTCTGTATCCAGCGCTTGAAAAGTCCGCATTGTACAGCTTCAACATGACGGTCCGCGTTTCAACTTGACTGGGATGGACATGCGTTGGAGTGCATAACGTTGCGTTTGGGCATTGCTCTCAGATCCCGTGCGATGAATAGTTTGGCTGTTTCTTTGTCAGAGGTGATGCACTTGGCCCTTTGTCGATTGCTGGTGCGGGATCTTGCGGCCGAAAGCTCAAGAGGGTGCACGGGATGTCAAGCAATGGAGGGCAAGCAACCTCAGCTTTCAGACAAGGGCAATCCTCGACATCCCGTCTGCGCGCTAAATACGACCGAGGTTGAGAAGTGTGGCATGCTGGCAAGGGACAAGGTGGGATCACGCTGTGGACATTTTACACACGCAGGTTTGTCGCTGTTTAGCTTTGTGCAAGGGGGAAGCCTTGTGGTTCCTCATCACCTGAGACCATACAGTGTTACATATTTAGAATCACCAGCAAAAGTCCGCTATTTGCAGCTCTTTCCAGCGTTCCAGGTGGGCCTTGCCCTTTGGTCTCTTGCAGCCGGGCTTCCCAGAACCTTCGAGTCCAGCCGCATGTGTCTTTTTGCCGCCTGATGGCCCCGAGGTCGTGTGGCCGACACTGCCGGAGGGCGAGGCATGGGCCGCGCAAGGGGCATGGCCGCGGGAACACAAAGTATAAGAGCGCCCCCTTTGGAGATTCTGTGTGATAGTCAGACTAAACTCGGGTGGAAGATCTAGAGAGCCCACACATAGAGCAGCCTTCGTTCTAGGCATGGCCGCAGCTGCTGGCAAATGTGCTTCTGTCTGCGCAACCCTGGCTGATGGCGCCTAGCTATGAGGCGCTTTTGGACGGTTTATGCCGAGATGTCCCATTTCTTTTCCCGAGGTGACCAACGCTGCTTGGGCCTTTGCACAGCTTCCCCCAGACATGGTGGCCAGGCCACGCATGAGCTGGATGCCTTCGTACAAGCTTGGCAATCCGCATCTCACCAGGAGCTGGCCCAGTCTCCTCCAGACCACCACGTGGGTTCATCCCAAGCAGCTCTCAGAACACGAACTCTGCAATCTGCCAGAAGCCTAGCGAGTCACAGCCACACGTGGACCCTCCGGCGCCTGCTTCATGGTGAAGATAGCGGATCCGGGATTGACCGTGGCCCAAGGCTGGCTGGGCTTTCCAGCTGCACCCTGCAGGTGCCGGCCTGAAGCCACTCGCGTTGCGTCGGGCAAGAGGTCGCATGGAAGATTTCAACATCCACCTTGGCTGAAGGTGGGCGTTTTGCAGGAAGCCTTCCGGACTTTCAGTACCGAGGCAAGACTTGCGGAGAGCCAGGGTTGTCGCAGGGAAAGGGCGAGCTGGCAGCGCGTGCCACGGTTTTCTTACCGCGCCTGCAGTTGGTGGCACGTTTCGAGCGCTGCAGCTTCTCGCAGCACGACAAGCGCTTGCTAGCAACTTGACTGACAGCGACTGCCAATTGCATTTCACGAATTTGATGTGAGATTCAACATTGTCGTTTTAGATCGCAGCTTTCCACTTGAAGTTTGCGCAATAATGGTGCCAGAAAGTGTTAGCTGCCAAACGTCCCCCGATTTGCTTTGGGCTTCTACCTTTCGATCATTGCATTGCACTCTAGCGCTTTCGACCGGCTGCAGTGGCCTCAAGCTAGGGCAGTTTGCAGCCAAGGCTTCTGCTGTGTCCTCAAAGCCAATCTGGGAATCTCTCGAGGCCGGGCACAGCTTGTTGAATGCTTGCGGACGCGGCGTGGAGCCGTGTTTTGGCCCGAGGCGTCCCTGCTGGACAAGATCAAGGCCGGAGGAAGAGAGAGAGAGAGAGAGAGAGAGAGAGAGAGAAGACTAGTCAGGTGAAGTTGCAAGGTGCCGTGTTAATCACCGCCCAAGGCATTCTTGGGCATGGATGAAAGGCTCCAGCCTCGAAGTGTGCCGTAAGGAGTGTTAGGTGCAGTAGTGTATTCTGTGCTATGAGGCGATCAGCTGAGGAAGAGGAGGCGGAATGAGCACCATTGTTTTTTTTTGAATGTGTGTGTGTGTGTGTGTCGCATCAAGTCAAGACTGCGCGTTGACGGCAATGTGTGTGACTGTGTGTGGATGGAGCTTGACTTGAATGCTCAGTCTTGCACAGGAGCCAACCTCCTACCCACAACATTCACACGAGCAAGAGGAGCAGGAGGCGGAGGAGGAGTACGAGGATGGTTCCTTGTGAGAGCCGCCATCCACAATGCAGGGACATGTCCATTGCAGGAAGCGGAAGCAAAGACGGCGGGCCTCCCATTTCGGCATTTCGGCATTTCGGCATTTCGGCCTTTCGGCTTATCTGAGTGCCGGGCTGAGTGCCGCCGGCCGAGGATCCGGAGGACTCCGCTCCGCCGGTCCCCTGGGCCAGAAGGGCGGCGGGGGCGCTTCGGGGGCGCTTGGGGCGTTCGAAAGCGAGGCCCGAAGCGCTGCCGAGCCCCAAGAAGGCCTGGAACCACGGCAGCTGCAGGAGCAGCTGCTGCACGGAGGCGCCGCGGATGCTCGCAAGTGATAGACAAAAAGTGCAATACATCAGGTAGACGGGCAAAGTCTTCGCATGGCCAACGGAGAGTCGATTTGGATTCGAATTTGCCGATCAGGTACCTGGAACTTCAGAATTGAGCCGTCGCTGACTCAGGAGTCTGCCTACGGTTGATCCTCCCAGCGAAACTACTCTCATTTTTTCACGTAGTTCTACTTGCAGCATGTTGCTCCTGTTGTGTGTATCTCCTTTCAGCAGTATGACCTAAGAACCAGTATAGAGTATTCAGAGCACACAAAGTATTTCAAAGTATATGCTCCTTGCAGCACTTTCCTGCACCTCAACACATCATAGTACATCGACGTGTTTCAGTTCGGGCTGCCGCCAAGATCCCTTCCGCTTGTCAACCCTCTGGCGGGGTGAAGCGCTACAGTACAGCATCCCTGGAAATCCACAGTACAACTGTATCGCAATTCTCCCCCGACCACGTCTCTCATCAGCGTCCAAGCCCTGAATGCTGCGCGACTGCCTGCTTTTTGGCACGTCGAACCGTAGTTGATACAAAACATGATGTGGAGCCTGTGTTACGGCCTTGGCCTCTGCATGTGTCAAAGACTATGCTTAATGCGACAGGTCTCCGCACACGGGTTCTCGGCACACGGGTTCTGCTGTACATTCCCCTGTCAAGGCTTGCTTGGTCTAGCATTCACAGGTTTGCTAGGCTTCCAGAGTAAAGGAAAGCCGCCTGCTGCAAGGTTTGCGACTCAACTCGCATTGCGACTACAAGGGCCACTGCGTTCAACTCAAGGCGTGTTTCGAGCCGACTGATGTGTGCGGACTGGCCGATGTGTTTGAAGGCAGTGTACTTCTTAGGGCACGGATTGACGATGCACATATCAGTTAATTCAGCAGGTTTGGTAGCCATCACTGACATTGCTGTCGACAGAGTTGGGCTCCTTTGCATTTCCTGCAACGTGCCAGCACACCTTCATCCACGTAGACTGCCCCACCAACAGCGACTCAGAGGAAGACTGCGAGCTTTGCAGAATCTCAAGGCTGGATTTGAGGAAGAATGCTGCGCGTCTGCACCGATGCACCGGCGCACCGATGCACCGCTGTGAGGTGCCATGTACGTGACTTGTTTTGAGGCGCCGTGCGCGGTCAGTGGACAGCAAGGAGCCAGGGCCAGGCTAGGCTCTGAGAGCTCCGAGAGCATGGGCCACGCGGGGTGGTTTTGGAAGGGCATGAGTTGCCAGTTGCGAGTGAAAGCAGAACCTTCAAGGAAGTTGTTGACCATTCAAGCAGATCTGAGGCCTAACTGAATCGGATGTGCTGAGCTCAGCGCTGGCTGAATGGTTTGGGCAAGGCTTTGAGGCTGCAACAAATCAAGAAGATGGGTGCGACAACCTCCCTCAGGTTGAGGCTCACATGCAACGCAGACTGGCGGCAGAACTCAACTCTGAGGCTCTGAGTTTCATGTTCCATGCGCTGACCCTTTGCATCATTCCATCATGCAGCTGACAACGCCGTGTTTGTCATGCTAGGGCCGGCAGCGAAGGGAACTCAGGCGCTGCTTTCTTGCCTCGGCCCGAAGGTGACTAGCATGAACAAACTCAGCTAGTCATTCCTGGATGAACCATTCTTCGATAATGTTTTAGTGGTTTGATATGCTTTGACTCTTGCGCGTAGCCAAAAGGGCAGCGGAAGTTGTGCAGGTCAGGATCCTGCGGCGTTGATCAATGATGCTGTGCCCAGTGTAGGTGCAGAATTCTGCTGAACTGGCAGAGTTTTGGTAGATCGAGTTGGGCATCGCTAGAGATGAGCTCTGCTTTGCTCAAGTGAGCTTGGCACCTGCACTTGGATTTGCTGGCGGTTTGAATTGGTGTGATCTCCAATGCTGCTGAATTTTCACCCTTCAAATCATTCCAAGTTGAATATGTTGCGTGCAGATGCTGATGTCTCACAGAGGCAGTATTGCACAGTTCTATCCTCTGACAGTCAAGCCGATGCTAGGAGCCGTATCTGAGCCAAAGGGGTCCTTCTGATTTTTAGCGTGTTGTCCCAGAGGATACAAACTGAGCAGCTGCATGAGGGGTGGTTACTCTGCAATGGCAGTTCGTACGCCATTTGCAACATCATGCTTAGGACAGTGCACAGTCATATGTGTAACAGAACCCATCCTGTTTGGACGGATTCTGCAATAGAGGTGCAGCCATTGGTACTTGTCCAAAAGGAGAAAAGGGAACACGTACGAAGAAGAGCTGTATTTGGCATGTTTGTATTGGCCGCAACTAAGTTTTGGTCATGCCGCATGCCTGCAAAGAAGAAAACTCTTGCATTCAAACGTGGAATGCACAGCAGGCATAGTTTTCCAGGGCAGCCAGAAGCGTGCAAATCGCCTGGTGATTTTGCTCTGTGCCGGACAAGATCGGCAAGCGACGCAACACACGACCTTTGTTGAGGCTTGACTGACAGGATCAGTCATGCAGAAGGATCGTCGTGAGTCGCGAATTTGTTGACCCCAGCGCCACATGGCGTCAAAAGATGCGTACTCTGCCATTCGTGACTCTGAATTCTTCACCTTCGATGCTGTCATTCACACGTACCGAGACCGCATCAATTGCAGCACACGAGAGAACTGCAGTGTCGCCGACTGTCGCAAGCCCGCCTTGAGCCCGGAGACCGGGTTGGATCGAACGACTTACGCAGGATCACAACGTTTGTGGCGAACCATTCTAGGCAAGCCAGGCGAAGGGCGTAGATGGCGTCCATTCGACGTTTCCCGGCATGAGAAAAGGACGCACACACCGACAAGTTCGAGGCTTAGGATTCAAGTTCGGAACATCGTACGAAGGCCAACTGTTTGTGCCACATGCACAAAGACCCAAGATGATACAGATGTAAATGGCAGAGCCTGAAGCTTCGATCCGAACTCAGTCGAGGAGTCGAGTGCCAGATTTCATTTTGGTTTCTTCATGAGTGTGGGAAGTCTCCTAGCTAAGGCCTGGTTCCAATGCCGTCCTGCTTGTATTGGTCGACAGGACCCGCGTGCAGCTGACCGCCGACTCGGTGCCGACTTGATGCCAGCTTTGTGTGCCAGTGCCTTGGCCAGGATCCTCCGACTGACTCAACATGACCAGGCCTGGTAGGGAAGTGCAAAGTGGTTGGCTTGGGTCGGGTTTGCAGATACCATTGAGGTGGTGGTGTCATTGACTAGAACGGACCTGGACCAGCTGCAGCATCGAGCCACAGAGGCAGTACTGATGTATGTGTTTAGGCTTTGTTGCTGCTTTGATGGCTCCAGGATGACTTTCCGAATGTGTTTGAGAAAGCTCATCCTTTGGTGTCCGCAAGTAGCCCTCATTGCAATAACCGACTACTTCGAGCACCAGCCAAGCAGAGGAATCCAAACATCGAGTTGAGACGCTGCTTGAAGCGGAGGCCTCTGAGACGTTGTCCCTTTGCACTGATGGCAGTGTGGCAGCTCAAAGGCAGACGGAGATGTGGGCCGAGCAGTACATGGTCAAAAGTTTTCCATTCTGGTTTGTCACTTTTTCGCCTTTGGCTTTCATTGCTTGCACTTCAGTCCGCTCCGACTTGACACACTTCCACGAATCACATTCTAAGTGTCGGTATGCGCCAGTTCTTTTGCATGATGGCGACGCTTTGGCAACACTTACTGGAATGCCACACAGCACATCGGAGTAGGCCACCGGACACGAGGTGATATGCAATTGCCAATTGTCAAGTGATTGGATAGCTCTTCGAACTATGAAGCCGCCTTACCGTGCATGGGGCGTTGCTCTGGAAGTTTGAGGGCTCTGAAGCGGTGGCGCCCCAATGACAATTCCTCGATCCCGATCCTTTACCCTCTCCAGGTGTTTGACAATGTTCTCAGATCAAACTGCTAGATGGATGCATGCGAAGTCACATTCGATCTTGCGAGAGGGGAAGCTAGGGGAAGTTAGTTGACTGTAGTTGATGCTGGTCGCTAGAAGTTCTCGGGCCAATCCTTTGCAGGATTTGCACGGTTGTGGCCTTCAGACTTGGCGGCTCTTCACCCCAACATGTGGCCGCCTACGTCAGTCTCATGCTTGCTGCTGGTTGGTGCACATTCCCCGCCCGCAAGTTCTCCAGTTGCCAATGTTTCTACCCAGAAATTACTCTTGAGTGGGTTTGTTTTGTGCAATGCTCACAAGGCATGGTAGTTGTATGTTGCTGCATGTGTTGGATGCATGGGTGCGGTGCTTGCATGTTTCCATCCTGACATTTCTGGAGATTCTGCTGGTGAGACCCTGCATGGTTGAGGACATCGGAGTCATCTATGGAGTGTGTGGTAGAATCTCACGCAGCCACTGAGTTGGTTGAGCATGCCCTGTCTTATGGCTGTTGTCTTTCTTCCACGGCCATGCCTTGTGGCTTCTTTTGTCAATGTTCCAGAACCAAGCCCCCGACACGACAGGCCAGCAGAGGCCGCGATCCCTGCTCTTTGTGGCTGCTTGGCTTTGTACTTCTGTGTAGGGCTGCTTGTGCCATATCGGGAACATTCAAGCCCGAGAAAGCACTTTTTGCAGTTTGAAAGTTTGGGGCACTGAGGTCTGGCGGTCGAGTGCATCAACGTTGTGGAGCTCCATGGGTTCCGTATGCATCGGCTCGCACTTGCGCTTGGCCGCTTGGCCGAGAGGGCCGCTTTGCTCTCCCGCGCGCTGGCAGGAGCGGGCGGAACTCTCCACGGTCCTCGCACGGCTGGTCACGGCAGGCTGCGAGGTGCGGTGAAAGATGTCGATGTCGCTCTGGCGTCTGACGGCGTCTGCGCCATTCGAGAGGTCCTGGCTGCCCTTCTTCTACCTTGGGCAGAGGCAGACGGCGAGGCTCGCTGCCAGCAGAGTTGTTCAGGGCTGTCAATGAGTCGAGCCTCAAGGCTTGTATGCCCTGAGGCTTGTAGCTTTGACTGGGTCAGAGAAACCCTGGAGGAGAGAGAAAATCGGCTTGCACACGTTTTGCGACTAAGCGAGCTCAGGACTTGAGCGATCAGATTGACTTTCTTGCGCTGGAGGCTGGCAGTAGAATCAAGAAGCCCCGCTTTCGCCTGATTGGCTGGCTGGCGGTGGAGTTTTTGTGGGAGCCGTCAGTTAGAGCCCATAGTGCATTTGCAGTTTTTCTACGCTAGGCCAGGATTCAACATTCTAGGGTACCTTCCCCATTCTTTCCAGGCATCCTTCTTTCCACAAAGCCACCCAAAACTCTGGGGAACAGCTGGCTTTTTAAGAGAACGATGGTTGAAAAGAATGGGGAATCAACCCCTAGAAACATGCAGCTTGCTCTCCAGGTGTACTGTGGCCTTGGCCGCTTGGAGAGCAAGTTCCTCGAGTGCGGGGCTTGGAAACCGGTCAGATGGGGCCGTTTGTCACGTGTTCTCTAAGAGGTGCACAGTCTTTCATCGAGGTCAGATGAGCTACCGGTGGTCCTGGACCCTGTCGAGGCCTTTGGACTGCGCACTTTCAATCCTTGCCAGTGCGTTACCTTGCGTTGTCAGGCTAGGACTGAGTCACTGAGTCTAGCAGTTTGGTGCCATTCGTAGCAGGTGTCAAATCATTTCTGTATTTAGCTGATCCGCGTATTGCTGAGAAGCTGGGGCTGACATCTCATCCTTCACTAGACGATGCCTAGCTCGTTTGCGCGTGCCAGGATGACTTTGGAGCTTATTGGGGATCTATCGAGCACCGGCAGGCTTTTGTCACAGCTGTCGACGGGAATTCTGTTTTTTTTTTTTCTTTTTGCCTAGCCCTGGCACAGGGCTAACCTTGGCAGGTGGTTGGTTGGTTGGTTGGTTGGTTGGTTGGTTGGTTGGTTGGTTGGTTGGTTGGTTGGTTGGTTGGTTGGTTGGTTGGTTGAATGGTTGGCGCCTCGGCAGGACGAGGTTTGGGATGGGTTCAGGGTAGGTTTAGGGTAGGTTTGGGGCAGTCCGTTTAGGGTAGGTTAAGGCCCGGCATCGTTTTAACATCCTCAGCATCGTTTTCAGGCTTTGGTTTAGGTTGGATTTAGGGTGGGTTCCAGGTTGGCTCAGGCTTAGCTCCGCGTCAGTCCCAGGACTATTGAGAGCAAATCTGGGGGTGGCTGTGCTTGAGGTAGATGGTTTAGTGCTGGTTTATGGTGGGGCTTCTTGGGGTTGGTCTCGGATGGGTTTAGGGATTGTTTAGGGTGGGTTTACAATTGGCTTCGGCCATGGTTGTGTTTAAGCCCACTTGGGTGGTTTAACCACCCTAAGCTCACTTAAACACAACCACGACCGAAGCCAATTTAAACCCACCCTAAACCGGCCCTAAACCATCCGAGACCAACCCGAAGAAGCCCCACCATAAACCAGCACTAAACCATCTACCTCAAGCACAGCCACCCCCAAATTTGCTCTCAATAGGCCTGGGACCCACCTGGAGCGAAGCCGCCCCTAAACCCAACCTAAACCAAAGCCTGGTGATGCTGAGGATGCTGAAAACGATGCTGAGGATGTTAAAACGATGCCAGGCCTGAACCTACCCTAAACGGACCTTGTCCATTAGTGTCTCCTTTCGTGTGTGACAGGGTTAGGCTAGTGCCAGGGCTATGCAAAAAAAAACACCTCAGCCGGTCGACGCAGACTGACTGAGAAACCTGGCGCAGGCATTGCAAGAGCTGTCAGCCTGGCAGCTTGCCCAGAGGGCTCGAGGAGTTTGGGACCCAACTGGCTCTGTGTCTCCGTGCCTCCCAGGCTGCTCTGCGTGATTTTCAGAGCGCTGGGCTATTCCTCAGTGACAGGACGGGCGGTTTGAAGCTTTAGCTGATGATGGGGATATTGCCATTGATCAGAGTTCTTGCCTGGATACTGAATCATGGCAATGTAGATTTATGTGAGACTGTTGGTGCCCAGCGCTGTTGTAGCAGGCCGCGCCTTGATGGAGTTCGTGAATCATGACCTTCTGTGTCTCTGCTCTCTCATGCGAGGCACATTTGCAAGGAGTCGAGCTGTTGTGAGGCAATGGATGCCTCTGGAAGAGGCAGTTAGACAAGTCCAGGTCTGCTCGCGGCGCGCTTCGACGATAGCTCTCTGCCCCATGACACGGTTGCCATTCAAGGTGCGCAATGAGACAAGGGAGCATAGTGCATCGAGCATGACAAGAAAAGCAAGCAGCAAGCTGTCGTCATGTTCTGGCAGGTGTGGCGCTTGCCGTGCTGTGTGGCCTGACAGCACCGGAGCTTGCCTTCCCGTGCTCAGACGGCAGCGAGGCACGAGGCCATGCCAAGCTTGGCAAGTTGCGCTACAGTCTCCAGGGCGACATCCATGAGCAGAACAGGGCCTTGAACTTCTACATGGAAGCCAGTACCTCGGCCCTCGGGCCTCGGGCCTCAAGCAACAGACATCAATCGGTGGATGATATGGCCATGGCGTGTACGGACATGTCATCGACTACCAGCAGACATGATTAAATAGAAACTTGTGCCAGAGCGTCACCCTATCATTGCACATGCCGGACAGAATGATGTCACGGACAACTTTCTTGCATGCTCCGCATGCCGGCCTCGCAAAACAGGGGGCTTGGATTGCTGCGGGATGGTGAGGAGTGGGGAAGCTTGTGGTCCGGGGCTTCTTGTCTGGGCTGTGTCTCCAGGATGGAAAGCAGGGGGAGGGGCGGGTCCGAGTATGGGGAGCGGGGGCAATGTTGGCGAACAGAGATGCAGCAGCTACATCCCCAGCATCAACTGGCAGCATCAACGTCCAGAGTCGCCAAGCCACCATGCGACAATGAGGCAAAAGGTGGCAAACAGTTGGCCGAACCTTTGGCCAAGCGTATGAAGGGAACGATGATCACCTGGTATTCAAGCCCCTTCCTCTCTTATCTTCTAAGCACTAGTATGATCTAAATTACATATTCCTATACAATGCCAGATAGTGGAATAGTCAAAGAGGGATGGCATTTGCGGCATCATGCCTCGCTCATCTCCTTTTCTCCAATGAATCCTTACTATCCCACAGACAGCTTTGGAGTGTATGTGAGTGATAATTATCCAGTCTAAAGATTAGTTCTGTAGGGAAGGTTGGTGGACTATAGATGGTTCAATGTTTGCGGTGTCGGAATGTACCAAAAAGCAGAAATCCACTTCCTAGTTGATGTTTGCTCCATGCTTCACTGAGTGGTCCATATTTTTTGAGGTGCTGGCAGCTGCAATGGTGGAGACTGGAATCATGGAGGCAGATTGCCAGAACTCAGCCCCAGGGATGGCAAATGTTGAGATGGCAGTCCGCCGTGGATTCTGCTCTATCTCGCTGTTGCCGCCTCCCAAAAGAAGGCTGGGCAGGGCACTTGTGTCAGTGAAAATCCGGCTTGCTGCTCTGAGTTTTTATCTTGGGAGTGCAGCCAAGGCGCAGCCACTGGTGCGAGACTTCTTCAGATGCTGGCGGCGCTGCTGGTCCAGGCTTCAGCCGAAGCCAACCTGTGACCTTGCCTGGTGCAGTGCTTTTGTTGCAGGTTACCCCTGACGAGGAGAAGTCCCCTGTGGCAAAACTACGACGGGATGCGGCTCTGGCATGTTGTGCTCTCATGAATTTTGCAGCTGTTTGTTGCAGCGTTTGGGTGATGTGTTTCCTGCTTCAGGTGTTTCGCATTGCGGACAAGCTGGGACGTTTGCTCGAGGCATTCGACGTTTGTCAAAACATGCACTTCTTGCTTGCAGCTCTTTCCGGTGCTTCTCATTGCCCGAGATCGCTTTTTCAGGCCGTGTCACTGCAGGGCTTCGACAGCCCAGCAAACCTCCGGGATATTGTGGGTAGCTTGGGCCACAGCTTTCGTGCAGCTTTGGAACTGCAGCAACAAAGGGAATGTATGGCTTCCGTGAAACAATGATGCAGATTGAGGCTGTGCTTGCTTGGCAGCGGTCCTTGTTGAGCAGAGCGGTTTGCCACAGCCCCAGGATGTGCGTGACAGCCGCAGAGAGAACCACATCACGAGCTACTTAGGCCAGAAGGCTGTTCAGATGATCACTTCACGCCGGCCTCTGAGGGCAAATTGCACGTCCAAAACGGACATGTAATTCTCACAGCAAGGCTCAGCTGCCGATTGCTGGTGACCACCTGCAGTGATGCGCTTGACCTGGGCTGTTCCGAGGCTCAGCACTGGCACAGATCAGAAATGAGAGATGTTGACTTGGAACGCCCAGGCAGGCGACAGGGCTGGCGTGGTTGCGGCTTTGGGTGCTTTGGCCAGCAATGTTGGTGCCGGGAAGCCCAGAGACACGGACGACTTGCGACCTGGTGAGAACGGGAGGCAGACCATTTTCTTAAAGGCGATGCCGAAACGCAAACTGTCAGGATTTGGAATATGTTACTCCGCGCTTGGTCGAACATATTGGCCGTGCTCTCAGCGTCTTTGTTACTTGTTGCAATGGCAGACACCCAACAATCCCACAATCCCACAATCCCACAATCCGACGATCCGACGATCCGACAATCCGAGCGTGTTGTCAGATTCTGCCAAGGCAGATTGCCCCCAGAGGATGTCGCGCGCGCACGAGTGCGGCTCACACGTCGGAAGCTGACGCCTTGAAGTGGTCCACGTGAGCTGAAGCTGTCCAGGTCATGATCGCCATCGCTTAGTGTCAGAAGCTAAGCGTGAGTCTCAGTGGCACTGAAAGCTTTGTGTTCGCTGATAGGATGACCTCAGCTGGCGAAAACTTGCCTCGCCTGCTTGTTACTTGCAGCATGATTTTGAAAAAGGAGAAAAACAGATGAACCATTGGCTGCCAGTACCACCCTTCGGTTGCCAGGCTGGCTTTGTTTGGCACTACCCCGGTGCCGGCACCGCCCAAGATGGATGCGGTGCCTGCTCCACCCTCCAAGCCAGGCCAACGCAGCACTGCAGTCTTGAGGCACTGAACGCATGTCAGGCCTTCGTGACATTGTACAGAACGCACCGAAGGAGGGACAACGCGGCAATGACGTGAAGATGACGTGAAGCAGCAAATTGTGAGTTTGCGGGGAGAGCGTAGGACTTGCGCTGCGCGATTGACCAGAAGCTCCTTTGCGACCCCGTGGTGTCTCCAGGCGTTTACGCAAATCCAGTCGTAGTGATGCAGCCGTCATTTGCAACATTGCCGGGTGTTCTCTGAAGAAGTCTAAAGCTACAACACAGAACCGTTGAAGAAAAGGGCCGGTGAGGGACTGGAACATGGCCAGTTCAGGTATGGTCAAGCTCCCAAAAACTGCGGCCCTTCGCAGGGCATGCAGCTGCGCAGGTGGCGTCGTTTTTGAGCGTACCAACCTGGCCCGGCCCCAACCCCAGAGATTCCAACTTGCACATCAGGAATTGCGAGGTTCTGAGCTGCCGTCCGCTCAGGTGGTTGCAGAAGAACGGCACCTGCCCTGTAACTGGAAATCCGCTGAGCTGGTTGCTGAGTTCTCCAAATGTCCATTGAGAAGTTGTGGCCTACAGCCTAGGCCTGGACGACTGCATACGGTCTCCCGAACTGCGAAGGAAGGCCTGCAGTCAAAATGGCTCTCAGTCACGACTGTTGGCCTTTGCCTGATGGCGTGCTCAGCCTTGTCTAAGTCCGATTTACCTGGCACGCGGGTTGCATTGTTGGCAGGTTACCGACTGGGTTCGGGGTGAGGCACGGAGGGATGGCAAACGAAAGAAGTAAAAGGGCAAGCTGCAGCTTTTGTTCCTACGCTTTCCCGGTATGCAAGCAGCTTCTGAGCGCAATAGTGTTGTGAGCCGCACAGACTCACCGCGTGGAGCGAAACATTTGCACGGATGACCTTTGCCAACCTGCTCAAGCTTATTTTGAACACTACAAGGATACGCACACTGGCATGCAGACATGAATCAGAGCTTTTGCGAGCACCGACACTTGTTTGAAGAGGACATTGATTTGCAGTCTGTGTGACAAAATAACGAAGATATTGCAGCATTAAACATATTTTGATTGAAGCGAGCGCTTCCTGCGCTCAGCGATGTCTCTGCGACTGCTGCGAACTTGGCCGATGAAACCATGAATGGATTTGCGGTGAGGCCGCGTTTGCGGTGAGGCCGCGTTTGCCCAGGTTGCAGAAGCAAATAGGCGAGCAGCGGGAGGACGGGACAAGACTGGACAAATGTTCCTTGTGCCACACAGGCAGACATACATTGCAATTGTGCAGCTTGAGTCAAGAAGTAAGAAGGAGCCCCAGGTTAGCCGCAAAATTTGCCAGCTTGAATTCTCTGCAGTCTGAACGCAAGTATCACGGTGTATCTGAGCAAGATCGTTTTTTTTTTTTTTTCTTTTTTGCACTATATTGATTTGATATGTGCCTTTGTCAGCGGCAGGATAAGTATAGAAGGGAGCTGAGGTTTTAGGGCAGCTGTTTTTCAGACCTTAGTTTGCTGGAAGTTCCGCGCCTGGCTCGGCCCTGCTCAGCTTGGCAAAGATGCCACGGCAAAGCCATGGCTACATGCAACCGAGAGCACCAACTACCCAGCACGAGAGTTCCGGGGGGAGTCTTCGCTAAGTTTGGTACTGGAGCTCGCTACTCTAGTGCATTCTTTGCAGCACCAATAGGTGTAAGCGGCTAGCTTTGTACAGGGAGGTGCGTGGCCTCGAATGTTGCTTGGTTTGGGTTGTCTCCTGAAGCCTTGAGTCGCATAGCTTCTTGCAATCCTGAGATGGCGAATGTAAGATTGCCTGAAAGAGCCGGCTGAATGAGGTAGAACCGTCAGTTGGCTTGTTGTTCATACAGCTTGGGCACCTCGCATGATCTCCAGTATCTGCAGCAGTTTGCCTTACCGACCCCTCAGAGCCTTGGAAGCTACTAGCCTGCAGGGTAGCAGATCCTGAGCCCAGAACGAGTTGGGCATGGGACTGGAACTTGCCACCAGCAAGTTTGCATCTTAACCGCAGAGAACAGCCGCAGGATCGGCGGCAGACCTCCTTTGGCCGTGGCAGAGGCCGTGGCAGATGCTCCATTCCACAGTTCGAGCCGAGTCACGCTCAGCGGCTCAGGCAAAGGTGCCAGCTGGGGCAAGAATCGAGCTGGGGGCTCGAGCTCGGGTCTGAGGCCATAACAGCGCCTGCACGCCAGGCTCCGCTTGGCAGGCCAGCGGAAGAGCCCCGCGCAGAGGTGCCGAAGTGGACGTCGAGGGATGGGAGATGGCGAGTCTGGGAGCAAGCGGACTCGTCGCCGCTTCCCCGTTTCTCAGGATGAAGACTGGCGCAAAGGTGCCTCGCAGCTGCCTGAGAGGTAAGGGGGTGAGGTCCACTGCGAGGTTGCGAGGCCTTTCATGAGGTCCGTGACATCTTGATTGGAGATGCTTTGGCCCTGGCGAGGAAAGGCAAGGGCAAGGGCAGGGGTAGCTCCAGCTTCCTCTCATCCTTTCAGGAGGACTGCAACAAGCTTGTTTGGTGTATAAGTTTTGAGCAAGCAGCGCAACGAACCGAGCAATGCGTACAAGACGTGGATCAACTTTGCATACCTTGAATGGTTGAAGCATAGCTCGGATGCAACACACCTGGTCCATTGTTAGGGAATATTATTGCACCGTGCTGCCGCGGTTTCGAGCGCCGGCTCTGGGCTCGAAAGTCTACAAGTGACTGTGCCAGCGCTCTCAAGCTGAGGCAGGGTCTTGGGATTGATACGCTGCAACCGGCCCGTGCCCGTTCCCTGCAGCTTGCAACGTTTGCTCTGCCACAGGGAATGGACCCACACACACGGAGCCACTTGGTGCAGCGGGTGCAGCGCTACTTTCTTGAGCCACTCGGACATGTGGCAGGTGAGACTGCGAGGCTGAGACTGAAGTTGCGCTCAAAGGTCCAAGAGTCCAGAGATGCTTTTCACAATGTTTTTGCGCCCAAGTCTGTTTGCCTGCGCTGAGGTTCCTCGAAACCTTCAGACTGCCGGGGGAGGATGGCGAGCGCGAGGGCGATGTTTACTACATCAGCCAAGCAAAGGCGCCACCAATCTTCTCAGCAGCATGCTGCATGCATATTTTGCGCAAACAGAGGCATGGGTGAAGTACGGGTTTCCCTTTCCCGGCAGCAGACGAATTTTTGTGTGAGGCCATGGTGAAGGAGAACAAGAAGACTCTCTACATCAAGATGGGTCACTTGGAGCAGGCGCGAAAATCCTCATTGCTGCCATCCAACTCGATGTCATCCAACTGGCGGTCTTTGCTTTCAGGTTGCAACAACCAAAAGACATGTGTATATAGATATATACACATCATACATACATTATATATATATATATACACATACATGTATGTAGAAGGAGAGAGAGAGAGAGAGAGAGAGAGAGAGAGAGACAGTCAGAGTGTGTGTTGTTGACAGGCAGACCGCGACGCGGTGTCCTTTGAGCCACAAGATCTGATTGCGGTGATCACCAGCAGGTATATGGTTGTGCGAGATGCCTTGAATGCGGCTTGCACGCACATTTTGTCGCAGAGCTTTTGTTTGCCAGATATGCTTCACTATCCGTGAGCTTTGAGCCGACTCTTTTGAGCACATGGTGGAAAAGTGCCGCGTGGCAAGCTTTGCCTCAGGCTGCCCTGCCGCAGCTGCTTTCGAAGTTGGATGATCCGGAGGTGCAGGCGGAGGTTCCCAGCTCAGTTGTAACGGCACGGAAGGTCGTCGGTATCTTAGGGTCTTTACTTCACGCGAGTTTGGTATCAGGTGCAAAAAATGGATGAGCCACGTGGCAGCACATGACCTTTTGCGAGATGCTGTCAGAATTCTTGTTCAGAGCCTCCGTGCTGACATAGTCACAAGCCCACCCCAAGGCTAAAATTCACTGTAGCATTCCACGATTTGGCCACCTACAGCGGCATCCGCGACCTGCGAACTGAAAAGCTGGGCAGGCAGGTCACCTTTTGTGAACTGATGAATTGGCATCCGCCGAAGCACAGTGACAAGCAAGCGTGGAGCGATGTTTTGCTCGCTGCCCTTTGCAGGCTTGTCACCATTTGTGGCACTGTCACACGCACTACCGACATCAAGCCTGAGCTACTGGTTGCCACATGGAAATGCAACGAGTGCCGACGTGAAATCACAGGCATTGCGCAGGAGTTCAAGGTGACCACTCCCACGAAGTGCCCGACGAAGCACTGCGGCAACACTTCGAACTGGAAGCTGCTGGCGGAGAGCCGCTCGACGCGGTGGGGTGACTGGCAGCGGGTGCGGCTGCAGGAGAACGAGAACGAGGTGCCGGCGGGGTCCATGCCGCAGACCATGGACATCATCGTGCGCGACGAGAGCACGGAGCGGTGCAAGGCCGGAGACAAGGTGCAGATCACCGGCTCGCTGATCGTGGTGCCGGACGTGCCGACGCTGATGAGCCCCTTGGAGCTGAAGGCCACGGTGAGGAGGTCGTTGAACAGCCGCAGCGACCCTTCCTACGCCGCGGGCGAGGGCATCCGCGGTCTGAAGGCGCTGGCCAACCGCGACCTCACCTACAAGCTGGCCTTCTACGGCACTCACATTGACGAGGAGCTGAATAAGAGCTTGGCCAAACTTGTACTCGTGGTTTTCACGCTTGCCAGTATACAAGCATGCCTGTCAAATTCGCCTCACTAGCTTCAAGATGCATTGAAGCTGACCCACCATTGCAGGACTCTGATTGGGCTAGCCGTGGCAGCGAGGAGAAGAGTGAGAACATCCGTTCTGAAGAGAAGATGTACCTTTCGCCTGTTGACAAGGACTGCGCGTGTTCTTGAGTTTAACGCGTTGATACACTGAGAAGTAGCCCATTAAACAGACAGCTTGTTTGGGGACGGGGCGTTCTTTGCAAGTGCTGATTGCTATGGCGAGCTTCGCTCAGCTTCCTGCCTCAAGTCTCAAAAGTGCTTGAGCCAATTCCGATCTGTTTCGAGCTGAAGGGAAGCCACAGCCGATTTGCTACGCATGGGACATTTCAACGTAGCGCAGTCTGTAGGAGCGCTTTGAGCAGCTCGCGGAGCACGTGGGCGGGGGCGGCAAGCGGGACTGCCTCGACCTCCTGGCACGGGCGGTGGCCCCATCCATCAACGGATACCTCGAGGTCAAGAAGGCGCCGCGGAACCCAAAACGCGACGTGCACCGGGCACGGCGAGCGTGGTGTGCTCGCGCGTGAGCGCGTGTACTTCAAACTTCATATATTTGTTTGGCCATGGGCCTGAGGGTCTGCATGCTGGAATCGAGTCCTCGGAAACCTAGCCACTGCCGCCCTGCTTGGCCCGTAAATTAATCAATGTTGGGGGACTTTAGCAGATGCTTGTGCTTGTGCAGGGCATCTTGCTGATGCTGGTGGGCAGACAGCTTATTTTGGCGGACGTTTATCGCATGAGTGGCACAACACATGTTCGCTGGGAGACTGAAAGAGGTAGCTTTCCAGACTTGTCCGACTCGAGGCGGATCAAAGAAATCCACCATGGAGGGAATTCAGCTTCGCGGAGACATCAACGTTTGCCTGTTTCCTGGCGGCATGTATAACTGTATAACTCCAACCCAGCTGCTAAGCTCAGCCTCTAGTGTCTCCAGGTTGGGAGACCCGGCGACGGGCAAGAGCGAGATGCTGCGATGGGTGTCCAAATTCCTCCCGTGCCTTGCTTGCACCGGGTGACCGATGGGGGCTTCACTGACCGCGTGTGTTCCAAAAACGCCGTGAGAGGCGGGCGGTCTTCACTTCAGGGAAGAGCTCCACTGCAGCAGGCCAGATGATTCCTTCAGTTTTGCGCTGCCTCGTGCCTGGCAGGTCTCACTGCATCCGTGGTGAAGGCGAGAGGGCGGAAGCGCCTAGGCTTGCAGTGAAGAGATCCTGCAAGGCAAGCCCTCTGCCAGGATGCCGACCTTGACAATGAGAGGCTGATCGAACCCGGAGCCCTGATGCTTGCAGTGGCCACCTCAATTTTGAGCTGAGGATGCTGAGGATGCTGATGGCGATGCATTCGAGCTGAGGACAATGGTGTTTGCTGCATCGACGAGTTCGAGCTGATGGACGTCAAGGCCCGAGCCGACTCGACGACTCGAACAGCGAACCCACTTCCAGTCGCCGACACCGACTGCGCAGGACATGGTCGCCATCCACGAGGCCATGGAGCAGCAGACCATCACCCTGTCCAAGGCATGCGGAACGATCTAACTTCTGTCACGAAATTCGTCGTGATATGGGCAACGGTTAAACTACTGCCATCTACTGTACAGGGCATGACATTTGGTACCAGGGATTGCTTGAATCCAATGTCCAAGGGGGACACCAATGGACTGTGGCTCATATGTATCTCTGCGCACTCGTCCTCGCGCCACAGGTGAATAACCTGCTTTGTTCTTAAGACATATGACCAGAGCATTGATTGTCTTGTCTTATAATCTTGGTTGTTCTTGGGCTACACTTGCGCCACGTGGTTTGGACCTTAAGCTGAAAAGACTAAAGCTACGCATTCCTTGCAAGACATAGCCAGTGCAACACGGACCGGGCGCGCTTCACCACCTGCCAGCTGAAGAGTGGTATGAGACAAGCAGTAGTTTAACAGTCACTTCTCCAAGCCTGTGCCAGTCTTCTCGGGGTGCCCTCCCTCAACCATGTGCATAGTACAAGCATGTGGAGTATATGTACCTGCAAGCATACGATTCTTCAACCTGAGTAACTAACTCCGATTGTGGAGTTTGGCCGTCATGGATTTGCAGCCTGACCGCTGACAAACTCTGGGAGAGAAAAAAAACCTGTAGGACTTTGCAGGGCGTCCAAACAAACACTGCAGGCTGGCATCCAGGCGACGCTCAATGCTGCATGTCAGCAGACATCATGTGGCATTTCATTCTTGAAAGAAACACAAATTGCGAAATGTTTGACTTAGCTAGTATCAGCTGCGCAAGAAGCCGCTCCGGCTGAGGCCCGCGCTTGCATTTTGGCATCTGTCCTGCCCAAGAACACATACTACCAGACACTTGTCTTGCTTGGGAGCTTTTGCGAGAGGACACTGCGCACTGCGCACAGCGCGAAACTGATCTGAGGGCCACGTTGCCATTGCACAAGAACTGCGAATTGAGCCCTCCTATCATGTCGCGCTTCGACCTCTTCTTCGTTCTCCAGGCAGAAGCTGAGCGGCTTGGCCATCGGCAGGGCATCCGAATGCGACGTCAGGACATCCGCGACGAGACGCAGGACCAGACGGTGGCCAAGCACATCATCACTCTGCACCAGCGCAAGGAGCTGTCAACGGCACCATCAGCTCGCGTTTTGGCACGGCACGGCATCCGGGCATGGCGTGGAGTGGGCAGGAGGAGGCGGCGCCTACCGTTTCCCAGCTGGACCTCCAGAGGCGCGCCATGTGAGATGCGTGCCACGCCTCGCCTGTGCTCTGAGAGGTATATCCGTTTGGCGCGCACCTACAAGCCCAAGATCTCCCCAGAGGCACACGCGCTGCTGATCAAGTGCTACAAGAAGCTCCGCGAGGAGAGCTGCACTGCAGCAATTTTGGTGGCAAAATTCGTAATGCACTCCATGCTGAGGTCCATGCTGACTCATCAAAAGCACTCACTGTAAGTCTGCAGGACCGCAGCTATACTCGTGGCTCGGCAGGTGTCACAGTGCGGCAGCTGGAAAGTCTCATTAGGCACGCGGCGCAAGGGCAAAGGGTAGTCGGGTGGCTGTGTCCCACGCTAGACCAATCTCAGTTGACGCAGCACGGGCTGGTTCTTGGCCACCTTGCAGGCTGTCAGAAGCCATCGCTCGGGTTTACCTCAGCGAATGGGTGAGGCGCGATGGCAGAACAAATCCTTGCCCTTTGCACGCTCGGCTTCAAAGCGGTCATGGCCATCGTGCCTTGCATGCTGAGGCAAGAGCACGTCAAGGAAGCCTTCGAGCTCCAGGCAAGAGCTCCGTGTCGCTGTATCCACTTGGCAAAGTTTGCTCCGCACGATTCGTCCACAAGGGGGCTGCCATGCTTCACTCGCTAAAAGAGTTGCAGACGAAAATCATTTGGATTTCCGGCAGCGTGGGGGTGAAAGAAACCACAGATCAGGGGTCCATGCTTAGACCAACCATAAAACGCTCACAAGGGAAATCCCCACATGAGGTTGACATTGCTTGGGCTCCCTGCAGAGGAAAGGGCAAGCTGCCACCTCACATGCTGCACATGCCACGCTTGTAGCTTAACCTGACACAACGAGTAACACGCTTTTTGAAAATCAGCGCGCCCTACTGTTGGCTTAGCAGCATCTGGTGGTGTTTCTTCAAAGAGACCAACTAGTTGCAGGTGAAAACAGCAGGAAGTGGGAGTCTTGTCATCCTCAGTTTCTTATGCGAATTGCCGTCCCATTTGCCCAGCAATCAACTGAAGAATGAAACAAGATGAAGGATTGGAGTCAATATCGGAGCCGGAACCACCTAGGCTCGTAGACCAAGCTTCAAGCTTCCCCTCAGCTGTTTGGACCACATTGTTCCGTGGCTTGATCTGCAGATCTCGTCTCTCCGCCAAGCTGAGCGCATCTTGGCAGCACTGCCATGACAGAACCTGGCACCCTGGGCAGCTAGGTGTGTTTTGTCGAGGATATTGTTAGGTTGGTTTTCAGGGAAGCCAGCAGAACAGCCACTAAATTTGCGGGGGACCTACTTTGAAACATACCTAGAATGTGTATCCGAGCCGTTCAGGCGAGAGCATTGACCTGGGCACGGACGATGTGGCGCCCAGCAACAAGCGTGGCCGTGAGGAGGAGGCAACTGGGGCCTTTGGGTCCCGCAGTGCAACGAAGTTTTTTTTTTGCCCATAGGGTGCTTGCAAGATGGCACATGAGTCAAGCCTTGTCCTTCTTGCATCGCTTGCATGTTGTCTCGTTCGGCGAGCTTCATTCGAAGTGCCTGACGATGCGAGATGCAGGGAGAGGCGGCGCCCCAGCGGCACAAGCGAGTCCGCATCACGCATCCTGAGTACATGCGAATGGGCGGGGGCCCTACATCAGCGCGCTGTCAGAATTTGCTTTTGGCGCCCCTTAGAGCTTCAAGCATGCTTCAGGCATGTCTCCGAGTTAGCAAAGGAAAACAATGTGACTGAAGGTGCCATCAATTTGGTTTGACTAGAGCAACTGGTATTCAACAACGTTTGCACTGGTATAGTCCACGGAAGCAATGCACGTGACCGATAATTCTGCGGAGCCACTCTCTTAAAGCCTTGCCATCAGAAACCATCCACGTCATCCGAGACTGCCGCCTTTGCGATTGCGTATGCAGCCTTCAGCAAGCTGCAGATTAACACTACGTTTCTCTCTTCATCACCTGAAGGCAGCTTCTAACAGCATGTTACAAAGATGTTCATCATGTTGTGCAATGGGCTTTCAACACGGCACACATCTAAGCAAAGTTTCCTGACAGTTTGGCTGAGAAAGTGTTGTCGCTCTGCAACTCCACGGATCTCGTGATAGCATAGCTGCTCGCACTGCTCAACTGTACTACCTTGCAGCAGGTTTTCTTTGGAGGACCAATTCTAATGGTGGATTAGAGCATTATCATCATGGATGTACGTCGGTGGTCATCACACCATGGAAGTCCATGGTGTGCTACTTCACTCCCAAGCTGTTTAAGCACGCCGTTTGGAGGGTCTTGCACTTGTCGGCTCTGTGGCGACCTCTGAGAGGCGCCTTGAGGTCAGATGCTCTTAAGGCACCTTGCGGAGAAGGACGCTGCTGGGACGAAGATGACAGAGGGTGATCTCATCACCTGGTGCCCCGGAGTCACCTGAATGACTTCTGGGCTCGCAGCGAAGCACGCAAAACATCCATTTGCTGTGGGAAACAAACAACAGAGGCTTTCGGCTGGACGCAAAAAAGGCGCACGTCACATTGGGAAGGTACATGGAGCGGGTGGAGCCGGACCTGGTGACAGAGGAGCGTCTCAAGTACTTGGGCGAATGGGCGACCCAGTTTCGGGGAGCTTGTCCAAATTGATGCGAATTCGGAAGGGGATTGATGGCGCTGGTGTATTGTCTCTTCAGCTTCCGCATTGGTTTCCATAGGAGCTCCAGAACTGACACCAATGTGGCAAGTGGCTATGGCTGTGACATTTCTTAGTCGACAGGAGCAGCTCTTCCAACAGCAACACCTGGTGCAGCTTGTGGCGGTGGGCTAAGCCTTATCCCTTCTCCGCACTCACGCCTGGGAATCCTGAGAGATGGATAGAGACAGATCCGGCATGTTTTTTTTTTCTCCCGAGGTGAGCCGAATGATCGACAAGGATCGCGTCATCTTGGTGACCCAGCCCTCCAAGGTGCGGGATCGGCTCGCGGAAGTCGCAGACTCACGGGACTCAAAGCATTGCGAGGGGCGCTGCCAGCGCTGCCAGGACCCGCTGGCGCCAGAGAGCCGTGTGCTGCAGAAGCATCCCAACGTGCCGGTGGACAGCTTGGATCGCATGTAGGCGGGCTTCAGAAAGCAGGATTCAGGATGTATTGGGTTCAAATTGGGCTGCAGGAAAGCAGCTTGAAATGCGCTGGGGGCAGAGTCTCACAGCGCTCTGCATGACGGCATTTCAAGTTAATTCCTATGCAAGCCGCAGCCTTGCGGCACCAGCTTGTAGATTCGCAGATTGTGTTTTTTTCTCACTCCACGGGATTACCCGTGGAACCTGGGGGAGAGCAGTGCCGGCCACTCGAGACGCATCTGGGGCGGGGGAGCACTGTGGCAGTGTGGTGCACACAGTGCACGCAGTGCACGGCTCCAGGGGCGAGTTGCTATCCGTTTCGGGCGAAGCGAGCCAAACATGGCGTGACTCTGCCGGCGACATTGCCGTGACACATTGCCATGACCAATTGCTGTGGGCATGCTGCGAGATATGCCTCGCATTTGCAAGTTGCTAGAGCAAAGCGTGTTTGATTTTGCCAGAGGAGCCTAGCTCTGGCTATGAGGCCACCAGACATTCCTTTGTGTGTTGAGGGATTGAGGGGCAGTTGCAGTTGCTTCGAGCAAGTGCGGGTCAGGCTCCGAGTGCGCAGGAGCCTTACAGAGCGAAGAAAAGCAAACAGCGTGATATAGTTAGCAGGTAGGCGCTTCGGGAATGGTTCGGGTACGTTTCTTGCAGGATCCCTCCTCCTGCAGCTGTTCTTTAAAAATGACAACCTCTGGCCAAGGCCTTCTGGGGGCTGGCATCGCGAGGCAAGGGACGGGATTCGGTCCAGCGACTTCGGCTAATGCTTGATTGACAGTGGGCCTCGTGGACGTATGGATTGCTTGGGATATATGGCCATGGGTCAAAATCCCGTACCCCCAGTCAACATCCCAATCCCCACAAAAATAGACTAAAATGTGTGGTGCACCTACGCCAAAATGGTACCATTGGTTTTGACCCACAGCCATATGATTGTTTCTCTTTGCTTCGGATTGCTGCCTGCCAGGATGTAAGCCGCGCCGTTTCGTCAGTTCCTCAATTGCCATCTGGCCATCTTGCAGATGGGTTGCTCATTATTGTCAATTTTTGTTGTCCTGTACTATACACACTCCCAGACAAAAACAATCACTTCTTCGCACAATGAATGCCGACCGTAGCCCTGGCATCCTAGTAGAACTATCCAGGTCATCTTCAGCGCCTTCAGCCGTGACCCAAGAGACAAAGATTCCCTTGCTTGGTCCGTTGCGGTGCATGCTGGGCTTGCGTCAGACTGTGCCCATTGCTGCCATCTCCTCTTTTCGAAACCTCAGCAGCAAGCATGGGAGTAACCAGAACCAGAGGTGCCGAGGCAGTCTAAAATTTGTTGGCCCCGAGCCCGTCGATCCCTCGGCCTCGCCATGCCGCGGGGCCCAAGTTTGCCAGACGTCGCTGCGGCGAAGCTGCGGGAGGCGCGGCGCCTGGTGCGGCTGCAGCGGAGCTTTGACGCGGAGCGCGTGGCGGAGGACGCCAAGGCGCGGCGATGCGAAGATTCGCGCCGACGCGACTGGGCACTGCCGGTCGCTCCGACCTGTCGGTCTTTAAATCAGTGTTCATCCTGTTTTTTCGTGAATTCACTTGGAAACTGCAAGTAGGCCACTGGCATGGGGATGTCGTGGGGCACGAGCAAGCCTCAGGTGCTCTTCGAACGATGCGAGGATGCGGGCGGGGTTGCCAGTGCCAAGTATTTGCTGGTGGAGGCGGCCCTCTTGGAGGAGAGGATTGAGGAGGCCAGACAGGTGGCCACTGAGGAGCTCGCAGCGGCCGAGAAGGCCAAGGACGGCTTGCGGGAGGTGGCCATGCTGCGTGCGCTGCTGCTGGTGAGTCTGGCGGAGGGCAAGCCGCTGGATGCCTTGGAGCTGGCGGCCAAGGCAGAGGCAGTGCTGCTGAAGGCAGCCGCGGCGACGCCGAACCCGCAGGCGGCCGGGGAGCTGCTGCTGCAGGTGGCGCAGTCCCACATGGCGCAAGGCACCACCGCGGCGCAGCAGGCGGCGCTGAACGCGGCGCTGCAGGCGGTGGACCACTTCTCCCGGGCCGCGGAGGGCCAGGCCGGGCCCTTCGAGGCGGACGCCTGGAGGGCGGTGCTGAACGCGCGTGTGGTCTTGGGGAAGTTCGAGGACGGGATCCGCGCCGCGGAGGCTGCCATGGTGATCTGCGTGGACTGCGGGGACGAGGTTGGCCAGGCGCTGTGCCTGCTGAACATCTCCCAGGCGCACTTGGCGCGGGGCCTGCCGTTGAAGGCCAAGAAGGCGGCGGAGAAGGCGCTGGGCCAATTCCAGGAGCAGAACAGCGACTTGCTGGCGGCAGAAGCGCTGGATGTCCTCATTCAGGCCTTGGTGGGTCAGGAGCAGCGTAAGGATGCGCTGCAGCGCGCCAAGCAGGAGCTCTCTGCCTTCCTGAGCTCGGGGGACAAGTGGGCCACGCCTCGCATGCGCGGCTGCTTGGTGAAGGCGCTTATGAACATGGACAAAAAGAAAGAGGCGCTGGCAGAGGCAGAGAGAGCTTTGGAGTCAGCCCAGAGCCTCAAGTCTCTGCGCGCCATGAACGAAGCCATGAAGCCTGTGGCCATTTTAAACATCCAGCTGGGCAAAGTGGACAAGGCCAAGGACTTGGCGGATGAGTTGCTTCGCATGAGCAAGCAGCTGGGAGACCTAGATGGCGAGGCCGTGGCAACCCAGCTGATTTGCAAGGCCGTCCAAGAGCGCGGCGTCTTTGAGGAGAAGGCCGCCCTCGAGAGGGAGGCGGAGGACCTGATCATTGAACTCAAGAAAGCGATGACCGACAGAGATGGGCCGAGGTTCAAGGAGGTCCTGGAAAAGTGCTACGAGAATGAAAACGTGTTCACTGAGGATGTTGAAGAGATTATCGGGCCTGTGATCCTCACCGACCCCGATGGTCTCTATGAATTCTTCCTCAACAACCAGCCTGAGAAGTGGAAGATCGACCGCGCGGACGATCGAAAGTTCGATGCGGCCCAGCAGTTTGACCGGCGCCTGCTTTACTACGTCTTCCGGCTGGGCGCCATGGGCTATGGCCCGGGCTTCCGTCTGGTGAAGACCGACTTCCGGCTGGGGGAGCCAGGCCAAAGCTCGAAAGCGGTTGGCACCTTAAACCTCATGGAGAATTGCCCTGACTGGGAGGAGCGCACTGCCTGGCATCCCGGGCTTCTGGATTGTGTGCTGCAAGTGGGCGCTGCTAGGGTCATGACCAATGACTTGCAGTACAAAGCCAAGATCGAGACTGAAGAGCACAGAACGGTTGCCACATGAGCTGCATGATGTTGTTGAGCTCGCCAAATTGTTGGTCGCTCAGGGTTTGCAACTTTCAAGGACTCTGAACAAGTCATCGACGTTATTACATAGTGTTTCACAAGGTCAGATGAGCTCAGGAACGCGCATGCGAAAATGCTCCTCTGCAAGGGAGGAAGTGTAATGATGTTAGGGTGCGGCACAGGTAGACTTTAGACATTTGGTCCTTGCAGCGGGTCAGTATTGGAAGAATGGAAGCAACACATGTTTGTTTTTGTTAGCAGTTCAATGAATCCCCTTTTCGGCTTAGCCCCAATACTGTATAGCCTGATGAGACGCGGTCATATGTGAAACACTGCATGTTATCAATTTCGCTTCAAAGCCGCCAACATATCCAGTGTGAGCAGCAGAGGCTCGTTGGATGCCAACACAAAGAGCCTGAGTTGTGCCAAGCAATCGCCTGAACTCGCAGGGGCTCAATGTGCGTCGTGAGCTGGCCGACAAGCGCCCAAACAGGGTCTCACTGCCCCAGTAAAAGCAAGGCCGGCCTCAAGAAGTCACTGACTCGCTCAATGGGTGTCAATAGATCAACAGATAGAATAAGCTCGAACTACGCTTAGATTCTGACTAATCAATAAAGTGATCTACAGAGATGCGCCTGTGGCTCGCGCTGTCATGGCCGCTGGCCGCAGCAGTCATCGGCCCTGACCACAGGCGCAGCACCATCACATGAAAAGGTGTCCGCGTCACACCTGACCAAGTCTTATTGAATTGCAGGGCGCATGCCTAGCTGCCTTTGTAAATAGTTTGAAAGGTGCCGGGGACTCTCTTCCTTTCTGATGCTTCCCCTGCATCTTCTTTTGGTGTGCATTGGTGATGCCTCTACTTGAGCTTTGCATGTGCTGCAAATCGTTCAGGTGTGATATTGGCCGATATTATTCGAGCACCGAATGCAAGCCATGTCCGGCGGGCAAGTTCCGCAACGCCAGCATGCTGGATTGGCAGCTTTGTGCATTAGCCAAAGCAAGGCATCCCTCAGTCAGCAAGACGTCAGAGCATGACCGTGTTATCGAAGAATGCAGTCCTGGCTTTGGTTCGTTTGTGGAGAGCCCTTTGATGCAGCGGCTAGTTGTCCAGTCGTGTTGCGGGGTTACCATGAGACTGTCCACAATCAAAGCTTTTGTCAACTTAGGCAAGCAAACTGCACTGACTGCGAGCTCGGCCGTTACGCGCCGGTCTCTGGCATGCAGACTTGTATTGGCTGCCCGAAAGGCGGGGGTGCTTGCAGAGCACATCGCGTGCAGAGTCTTTTTGCTTCGTCCTGGTTGGGCCTATTTTGTTCTGCATCTCCCTTCCTCGGGCTGTCTATTTTGCAAGCAGACTCGTCATATCTCGACATGGCAAGACACCAACGCATGGCTTTCCGCAGGAAACTATGCCAACCACACCGGCTTGTCGGAATGTTATGGCTGCCCGCAGGGCCGCTTTAGTAGTGCCTTCGCTCAAATGGGATGAAACATACAGATAAAGTTATCAAAGGCTAAGCCGTCAGCAGTCCGGGAGCGGAGGGTGCGATGCAAGGCTAGTTTTCATCTTGTGAGCCACAATCAAAACCCGGGTAGACGAAGGTTAGTACGGGACAATTCCAGCCATAAATAGCTGCGGCCACCTTCTTAATTCTTTACATGGTTCTGGGATCACCATTTAATACCGGGTTTTGATTGTGGCTCTTGTGTGCAGAGATTGGTAAAGGTCAAGACACCGTGCTCTGAACCGAGATACAACAGAGTCTTCGTCCTGCTACAGCTGCTCTGCGGGCACGTACATGCGAAGCGAATCAAGCTCTTCTTGCTTGGAATGCGAGCGCGGGAAGTTTAGCAGCTTGCCGAGATAGGCTCCTGCCGAGTCTGATTTGGATGCATTGATGGACCATAGGCATCCATAGGCCCACAGGCACGGATGGGGGTTTCAAGCCGTGCCCAAGGCAACGATGAAGAGGCCAGCATTTGCACGGCTTGCGCGCCCGGCTACTGGAGTGACCAACGTGCCACAAACTGCGAGATGTGCGAAGCAGGAACGTACGCTGACACTTGGCCTTATCATGTCAAGTTTATGCACACAGTCAATTTTGGGGATGCCACAGTTGAAATGCGTTTCCTGATACTTGCTTCGCCAAGAACTATATTCAACCTTCAAGCCAACATCTGCCGTGCTTCAGGAGTTCCCAGGCTCCTTCAGCTGTATCAAGTGTGAAGCTGGCTACTTCAGCGGTGCGGGCCAAAGAAGCGACCTGGCCAATCATGCAATCCTTGGGCCACTTTCAAGCCGCGCCTGTGATGCTTGACACTTGGAAGTTCTGCCCCAGGCGTTTTCGGCAAGTTGGTTGAACGCGTCGACCGCCGTCCGCTTGGGTTCGGTTTGCCCAAGCCTCGTGATGTCGTTGAGGCTGCAGCTACTGCCCCCCTGGGACCATTGCTGACACCGGCGGCCAAACCACCTGCAAGGCGACCTGGATCGAGTTGTGCTCGCTTTGCAGGTCGTCAGCACGAAATGAAGAAATATTGGAATACGCAGCACAACTCAAACACAAACACAAACACACAGACTGTCTCACTCAGACTTGTTCAGAAACACACACACACACACACACACACACACACACACACACACACACACACACACACACACACACACACACACACACACACACACACACACACACACACACACACACACACACACACACACACACACACACACACACACACACACACACACACACACACACACACACACACACACACACACACACACACACACACACACACACACACACACACACACACACACACACACACACACACACACACACACACACACACACACACACACACACACACACACACACACACACACACACACACACACACACACACACACACACACACACACACACACACACACACACACACACACACACACACACACACACACACACACACACACACACACACACACACACACACACACACACACACACACACACACACACACACACACACACACACACACACCACACCACACACACCACACCACACCACACCACACCACACCACACCACACCACACCACACCACACCACACCACACCACACCACACCACAACACAACACAACACAACACAACACAACACAACACAACACAACACAACACACACAACACACACAACACACACAACACACACAACACACACAACACACACAACACACACAACACACACAACACACAACACACACACACACACACACACACACACACACACACACACACACACACACACACACACACACACACACACACACACACACACACACACACTCACACACACACACACACACACACACACACACACACACACACACACACACACACACACACACACACACACACACACACACACACACACACACACACACACACACACACACACACACTTAAACTCCCGAAGGAGGAAGCTCATCCATCGACTGGGTGGATTTTCGAGTGGTAGTTTCGGCTCACAATCGGCTCGCAGGTTCGAGTACAGCTGGGTTTCAGCTGGTTTTAGAGAAAAGGGCAAAAAGGGGACCTTTGTTTGGGGTGGGGCCCGCCAGCTGCCATGACAATGGCCCAGGCGCAGCCCCGCAGGTACGTTTGGACCAGGACACTGGGGGGCGTCTTCGTTGGCTGGAGACCCCCGGGGCCTGCTCCAGCCCCCTGCTGTAGAAGAAGTGGTAGCAGGGTGTTCTGCTACTCCGCACACACACACACGCCCCTCTAGGAGGGGCGAGTACTACTATTCTGCCTGAAGACAAAGTCAGCGTGTTCCTATAGTCGGCCAAAAACCCTTTTTCAGGGGGGAAAACGCGCCCGAAAGACGGACGAAGACCCCAACGGAAAACAAACGGAGCAAGAACCCAAAAGAAAGAAACAGAAAGCCCCACGTTGGGCCTCCGCGGGCAAAACCCAAACCAAGAAACACGAAAACCAGGGGAAGCCGAGTTTAGGGTCTCCGACAAGGACAAAGACCCCGAAAGAAAGAAAGAAAGAAAGAAAGAAAGAAAGAAAGAAAGAAAGAAAGAAAGAAAGAAAGAAAGAAAGAAAGAAAGAAAGAAAGAAAGAACGAAAGAACGAAAGAAAGAAAGAAAGAAAGAAAGAAAGAAAGAAAGAACGAAAGAGAGAGAGAGAGAGAGAGAGAGAGAGAAAAGGAGAGAGAGAGAGAGAGAGAAAGCGTATTTAGGGCGTCGCAACCGCCCGGTGGGAAAAAGAAAGGAGCAGGGTGCGTATTTAGGGCGCCGCGTCCCGCCCGGGAAGAAGGAAAAACGGAGAGAGAGGAGGAGGAGAGAAGGAGAAGGGAACAGGAGAAAAGGGAAGGAAACGAGAGAAGGGGAGAAGGAGGGAAAGAGGGAAAGAAAGAAAGAAAGAAAGAAAGAAAGAAAGAAAGAAAGTAAGTGTGCGTATTTAAGGCGACGCATCCCGCCCAGAGAAACACGAGGACAAAGCCAATGCTCGAGGAAGAGGGCGTCGAATCCCGCAGAGGGGCCATGAGGAAGAGCACGATGAAGCAACGGTAGGGGACGAAGACGGCAAGCCA